AAAAAAAAAAGATTTTTTTATCAAAGCTCAAAGAGGAGTTATTATAAGTCAATAACTGACCCAGTGTTCAGACTAGCCGCAACGCGACCGCACGCACTGCGACCCCACCCCTTTTTTATTGACACTAAAATCACTGAGGCCTCAAATTTTAGATATCGCCACTTATTGGATGCTACCTTAATCAATAAGGATCTCGAGGAAAGCTGTACGCAGTTGCTTCGTCTCATTGATGATCTGGAAACGAAACCAACATGGGTACCTCTGAGTTGGGCTACTCATCTTCGATCCGACTAATTCTTAACTTGGTGCTGCTTATTTCACTACGAATTTTCCTGCCGTTAATCCGGGTCATTTTTAGTTTTACTGTTTGTTTTATTATTTGTTATTACGATATTCAAGAGGTTGTACTGTTTATATTTAATGAATAGAGAAAAGATTTTTGGCTTTAGAAGGTTGATGAACTTTTCCTCTCGATCACTGATCCCACAACCCCACAGAACCAACTATCAGCCCCTATTGGTAATGTTGTAGCTTTGGTTGGCTGCTTCGACAAGATCCATAACCCAAAAATCAAGGGTGGTGTTATCGGAGGAACCGAGGCGATAAGACATCGCTCACCACTGACAAGAATGAGGAACAGCTTTAAACTGGGGACAGCGGAGTGGAGGGGGCGATGGTATCGTTCTTTAGCAGAAACACATCAACAAGAACATCAATTTGAGCAAAAATTGGACAATCAGCAGAAAAAGTTTGTCGGAGAAGATGTGAATCACATCATGTTTTGACAAAAGTCATCAGACGAAAGAACTTTGATAAGTGGAAGCACTTTTTTCTAGTCGGCGTCTCTTGGAGTTTCGGATGCTGCAGTATTTATGAGTACTCCCATCGTTCCCTTCCTTTTGTTTAAGGTACCTTCTCACAATACTATTAGGTAGTTAAGAGCCCCCTTGTGCCATGCTTTCACTCTTCTTCGGTCTCTAAAAAGACCATTCTTGCATAACGTTTTTGAAAAGACCAAGTCTTGTACTGCCTAACCATCCACCATCAAACCCAACACAGCAATCTATGTAATACCTAAGAGGGTATGACCATACCTTCTTTGAAGTGTTATTGACAATTCCAATCAAGTGAACTGACTATTCCACAACGAAAATTGGTCAAAATCCTATCCCATTTTCCCCTATTTCTTCTGCATAGAGGTGGGGACCAGTAACGTCTGTATTGGTCCCAGACAAACGTCGAGACACAGGAATAAAATGGTAGGGAATGGAATTATAATTAGTGCAAAAGAAGACTGTACAAAGTCATCATGCCTACCTACCGACCGGCCACGACTCTAAATAACTAGGGTGATGCCTTCTTGACCTCGGGGTGGTAAGCATAAAGGGGGAGGGAGTACCGTAATTAAACCAATCACATAATTTTTGATCAAACGTTCTACTCATCTGATCCCAATCCCATTGTTTCCCTTTAGACGCATTGTACGGCATTCTATCCCGGTTCAGGACATCTGTTATAACCCCCATATTCTCGAAGCTTCTGCCAAGAGGTCTCACCCACACACACAACTCATTTGAATTGCCCTTGGTCATTTGGGCACCGGTGAAAACTCGCTAGTTTCGGGCTGTGGCGTGAGACTGATCTTCAGCTACAGCTACGATTCGAAAAAGTTTGTTTCAAGAAAAAAGACAACCCCTGAATACCGTATTCCTTTTACACCTTACATAACTGATGCATATATGTAACGATTTCTCTATGATTGCCTTCATATAGCATGCTTAACTGTCAGGTGCATCTTTTTATGTTCCAACGAAAACCTTATCCTAACATATTGCCTCTATTTGCATTGCCCTTTGCTTGCCAATCACATTCGGGTGTAAAGAAAACTGTTACATTACTATTTCTCCCATTTACTCCCCATGTTGTTCCTGTGGGAGGAGTTTTTGGAAATGTGTGCTATTCCTATAAAATTATTGACTTAATAGTCAAGGTTTTCCTCAATGCATTACAGATTTCGAGAGCCAGTAACCCTAGGAACATAAATTGCATACCCATTCGGGCAAGGTTGGGTGAAGGAGGTTTCACAATTCAAAACTCTAACATGAGCACGTGATAGAGACCTTATGCTCCGTATGGGCCTAGCCTACTGCCGACATGCTTCCTCTACAGTAACTCCCTCAGAATCGGTCAATTACGTTTAAAAGCATTTAAACATCTCAATGAGCACTGATAGAGATTACTGAGCATAAGAGAGCATGCAATGTGAATGAAACCCTGGCTAACCTCTTGAGACGAGTTGACTACTGGAAATTTGTTCAACCGCCAACGTACAAAGCATTTAGTTCGATCAGAATCCTCTGGGAGCCGCAATGATAACGTATAATTAACCTAGAAGACGATACAGCTCAGTTAACTCAGTGTACGGTAAGTACAGTAATCTGTGCAGTGAGCAAACTCAGGTTCGGACTGACCAGACCCTATTTTATTTACCCATCCCGTACCCCGTATCTATCGCTCTTAGAAATTCTGAAGACTCAAAGGCTGGCAATACTACATATACGGTCATACCCACTCACTTCCCATCTCACTCGTCTACTGCGCTCAGCCCCGCCCACTGCCGATAACTCCGCCCACTTGCAATTTACGACTGAACCAAAGCCACACAATCGACTCGATTCTTGCTTTACATCAACCATCAACCATCGACAATAACAGTTACCCAATAGCGTGAGCATCAGGGTATTCCGAATGACTCATACTCCCACACTATTCTAACCTCCTACCCAAAACCACCAGTGAAGTTTTCAGGCAAATTTATCAGAATTTACCCAATTTCTCAAGAAAATATACCACGACAACACGTAGTACAATTATAGTACTGATAAAGAATGGATTAAAACTTTATCATGATAATATTACAAAGCAAATATACCCGTTACAACCCCAGTTCTCATAGTACACATTATTGATTCGTTCTGTTTTCTATAACCAATACAATTAACAATTAATTAGAAATGAAAACAATGTAGCGCATAGTATCACCCAAAAATCTCAAACACACATAAAAATAATTTGCAGCGAGCATTCAATAATGGTATTTCTTGGAATCAGAGATAAGAAAGGCGAGACCTGGCGGTACACGCCTAGGCGAGTAAAAGCAACAGCTTGGGGTCAATGTACTACGGTTCATTCTTGGACCGTATGCAAGATGTCCAGTGTGTGGGATGGGACGGAAGAGGACGAGATTTTAATGACCGCCAACTTTCAAACGACTTTTATTTTCGTTGACAGATGTTAGAAAAATGGCGATGGAGCAGAAAATCCATAGAAAA